CATAGTCCCTGGGGCCTCACTTGCTCTCTAAGGAGTGAGGGATAACACTGATCTAGTGAGGCTTACTGAAATAATGTTTGTGGAAGTGCTACCATTTTGCAAATAGAACTTCTATGAGGTTGAGACTCTGCTTGAACTCTTATCTTCTATGACAGCTCCTTCTGCTTCCAGATTTTTCTAACAGTAGGTAGGTGGGAGTTTTGTTAAATCTAAGAAAAAATAGGAAATCATAGCAGCTTCTGGGAGGATGCACAGCATGACCCAGAGGACTCTTCCTGTCCATGAGGGAAGAGAACTGGGAAGGTGGGGGGCCAAGAATAGTGAATAGTGGCCAAGGCTACAGTTCTATTATTGGGGCCTGAATGTACCCTCTCCTGCCATAGAAGCTCTATGTAATACCGACATTTGCTGGGTACTAATGTTGGGTGGCCAATGCCATATCATTTAATAATGAGACCAGAGGTACATTCTATTAGCTCCATTTCACAGAGGAGGGCATTGGGCAAGGTGGTTCAATAGCATGGCTTAGGTGGTGTTAGGTGGTTAGGGTCCTGTTATGCTTATCTTTGTAACATGAAGAAAGCTTTTCTACCTGATTGTTATTAAGGACAGTGTGAATGTGTTTGGAGCAAGATAATCATGATGATGGCATTGCCTCATCCTGTAGGACTCTTTCATCCAGGTATTTCTCGCCCACCATGTTTTGTATGCCCAGTCTTGACTCACGCTTCACTCAGAGGCCTACCCCTCCGTCATCTGGAATGCTCTCTGACCCCATTGCCTCCTAATCATGCTCTACCATTTCTTACCTCCTACATGGCTTCCCACAATGAATCCTTCCCCCATCACTCAAGCTACCACGGCCAACGACATTCCCCAGCATGCTTTTGTCCCCCCATTTACACCCTGGCCTTGCTTTTCTTTTTCTTTTTCTTTTTCTTTCTTTTTTTTTTTTACTTGTTTGCTTATGTCTTTGGGATATTTGAGCTCTGGGAGGCAACAGTGTTATTTTGCTGACATACTGTGAGCTACGCAGGGCTCTGGGGCAGTCGGGCAACTAGAGTTCCTTTGAGATCTTGCCCAGGAACTGAATTCTCCAGGCCTTGCTGCCTGTCTCTGTAAAATGTGTGGATTTGCCTAGATTCTCCTTCAGATCCACATGAAAGGATCCATTCCTCCTCATCCACAGGGTGAGTACGAGAGCCCAGGATGATTCTGTAGACCACAAAGGTCAGCCAAGTATTTTCAGGTGTTGTTGCTTGGGGTGTGGGGAGGTGATGCCAATGTGGAAAGGACATTGGCGTCTTGATGTGAATGATGGTAATTGTCTTTGACAAACCCACCTCTTCATAGTGTGGAGCTTTGACATTGCTTTAAACCCATGATCTTCTCGGCCTGTCAAAATGTGCCTCACATCTGACGGTCACTCTCACAAAAGCCCAGACTTTTCTGGAAGGGATCCCAGTGCCTCTCTCTCCAGCATTCCCCAACATAGTTTGCTCCTGCCTTGTGGCCACTATTGCTTGCCATAAAAGGGCACCTATTACACTGTCTTACAGGTAAGGACTGTTGCCCCTTGGCTTCCTTAGTTCTTTTCACCTAATCATCACTCAGTTAAAAAAAAAAAAATACACTGACGAATGAGTGATGAGACCCACTAGTTGCTCAGTTCATGGGTGCTGTAGGTCTTCCACCATGCCTTTGGTTCCCACCAGTGTTCTCCTACAGCTTTCATCAGAGGGCTGGACTTTTGAGAGATGACATTGTAAGAGGCCAATCAGTGTTAATACAATTCGGTTGGGCAGAGTGTGACCGTGACTTGAGAAGACCCTGGGATCAGGGCATGCCTTGCAGCCCCCTTCCACGCTGCCCAATATCCCTCCACAGCTAAGTGGGCTGGACTGCAGCAATGTGGTGGTGGGGTCACAGTAAAACTCAAAAACAGAAAAGGGACATTAGGGGTCACAGTAAAACTCAAAGCACCAATGGCAAAGTCTTATTCTGGACAACCGTACAATGGTTACGTAACATTTTGCCCTTGTGGGAAGTTGGATGTTATATATTATCTTGGCAATTGTTCTGCCAATCAAAAGATTATTCCCCCAAACAAATAACACTTTAAATGTTTTAAATATTTAAAAATATATTCTCAAAGTGGGCCAGAGTGAAAATTTGACTTTGCTAGGACTCTCGTTGAGTGCACATTTTCCTATCTAGTTGTAGCTCAACCATTTGTACAATAAGGTGGAAAATGAGAATTGCAGGAGCTCAGCAAGTCTCCTGCAAAGAAAAAAAAAATGGCAGAAAACAGAAAAAACAATGAACCTCTATGCAGCTGTTGAGAAAGCATTAAGATAAATCAGGGACAGACTGGTCTTTTAGGAGGTGGGGCCACACAGTGACCGCTGGGCCCAAAGCAAAGACATGGGCTCCTTGTTTAAGTTCCGAGGATTTGAGCATGTCACTTTGCCTTCACCTTCCTATCTTTAAAATGGCCTCATCCAGTCTCACAAAAAAAAAATTGCAAAGTGCAATAATTTCTTGCAAAAACCTGATTTTCTTATTAAAATTCTTGTCATTTTTGCTCAAGAACAAGAGGTTCTCACCCAGGGGCTGGTTATAGTCAAAAACCTCATGCCTGGTCACCTGATTCTGCATGAGCATTTTCACTTTGTTTTTGGCAAGCTTCTACTTCTTCCTAGAAGAATGTTCATGCCAACACCAAAGCTATTTGACTTCTAAATATTGTGTAACAGATGTGAACGAGGACCACATTTTCTTTTACCCAGAAAAGCCAGACATCAGTCCAGTTCTGGGTAGGCTCAGCAATCTCAGTCAAGGTCAATGGGTTTGGTTTGATTCCCCTTTTCAGAAAGTTATGTTTACTATACACCAAATTTTCTTAACCTATGTCTACGAACAAGTGGGCGTCCATGACTAGTCTCTAGAGATTCATCAATTCCTTAAAAACCAAAGGTGATTATATATATGATTTTTCTTCTGTTACTTCATTTGTTTTTCAAAGTGCCCATGATGCAGAACACTACTTTAGATTGCTATGTTGGGTATAGCTTCAGTGATCTTAATTTAGCATTTCAAATACTTGGGTATTGACTGGCTGATTTGACTTGTGGACCCCACAGAACCCAGCATTTTCCTAGGGCTCCATGCAGTGCACACATGCTTGGAACTAGGGACATGGGTCTTTCTTTACTGAAGACTTGTAGATTTTTTCACTTGGGGCCCATTTGTTCCCCAAATATTCTTAGTTTAAATGATTTCTCAGGAAGACCAAGGTGACTTTGGCTCTTAACCTCCTCATCCTTTCACAACTGGCCCTGTTTCTAAGTTGCGACCAGTGAAAATGTACACTAGTAATTAGTTTGGATCAGCAACATGCTTGTTGAATAATACCTATTGGCTGGCAGAGCAAAAGGGTTCACAGTGCAATTTAAATGTATGATCCTGGGGGTGATTTGCATATAAGGAGTGCACCAGTTCCTAATGCTTCCTAGTTCTCCCTTAGAGAGGATTATGCATGACATTTCTTGGGCTGTTAGTCAAGAGAAAGGTGGCCTACGATTGAAGCCTAGAATAGAAATTTCACTTTGTTTTATACGAATTAATTACAAGAGTCAAAACAATTCCCTACCTCTTTTTCCATCTTCATTTCTAATGTTAGTGGAACCTTAGCTTCTGCCTAATTCAATTTCTCCAGCAATTTAAGTCTAAGTTCAGAGTACCTTCTCAGATGGCCATTTTAAGGAAAATATACCAATAGACTTTATCAGAGACACTGAAGAGGTGTCCGGGCTCATTTCCCCCTCTGTAGTCATAGGAATATGGTCAAATATAATACTAAAAGACTAAATGCTTGTGGCTCTTTTATATATATTTAAAACACACAGTAAGAACATAAGAACATCTCAAATCATTTAGAAGGGAAAAAAAAGTTATCAACCAAAATCTTTGGAAATTTCTTAAAATTTAAATATCTGCAAACAATCCAACCAAAATGGAGAAAAAAAGAAAAAGAAAAAGAAAAAAAATCTCAACATTTGGCTATGGAGGGCACTTCACAAGTGAACCAAATGACATGATAACATTTTCCTTCAGGTAAGCTAGTCACTAAATCCCATTCAAAAGAATACAAGAGCAATATCGGAGACATTTTCCAATTCCACGCACATGGTGAGAACATTCCTTTAGGAAGGGCTCATCTACCATGGATTCCTTTACATTGTGTACATTACTTTACATCTCTACAGTGCAATGTTGAAACAGCCTCCAAATTTTGTAAAGTAGATTTGATGTCCATTCTACAAAAATATTAACTTACAGTACATAACACTGGATAATTTTAATCTGTACATTTCCCCTCCCATCATAGGTGACACATGTCAGTTTGTACAAGTTAGGAAAAAAAAAATCTGGTTGTTTACATCTGGATTAATAGTCAACAGTCAACCAGAAGTTGGTAGGGAGGGAAGAGTTTGAGAGAGTATAAATACAGTGGAATATTAATTGTGGTTAACAACATTCAGCTTTTAACAAAGTGATACAAAATAAATCTTCTTAGATTTTTTTTTTTGACTGAAAAGATCTAGCCGAGAATGTTCTGCCAAACAGCCGACCAAGTGATCCGAAAGGTTAAGGCTGACACGAGTTAGCAACCTACAGCACAACCCCAAACAGTGGCACAGTTCAGAGCTCTTCAAATGCATAGTTTCAGTGTTACACACACATGAATTACACTCCTTCAATTAGTGAATCCTCTAGACACTTTTCTTTTTGTTTTGCATGCATCCCGTTCCATTTCATTAAGGGCATCTCATCCTTGATCAACCATGTACTTTGCTTTTCAATTTGTTTTTGTGATTTTTTTTTTTGCATGTTTTGTTTGTTAAGCTGTCAATACCTCCAACACGTGGAAAATGAAATCAAGATGCAGTCTTACAGGACAGCATCATAGGACAATGCAAAATGAAATGAAGCAAGTGTCAGAAACAGTTTATAAAAATGGCACATTTATTGCTACAGAACGGTCATGTACATGACTTCATCGAATAACTACAGATGGGAAAACAGGTAATGGCCTAGACCAAGCTGGGTTGTTTTTGTCTTGAAGGAACTCCAGCACACAACCTGTTTGGACACTTCTACAAATCAGAAATACACCAAAAACATGAAAAAATCGAGGCACTCAGCCACACATTGAAAACAAGGTGTAACTGTTTTATCTTTTTTTTTTTTAAACGTTTTCCCTTTTTTTCTTTTTTTAATAATTTTTTTTTAGTTTTTAATGCTGCAGCTATGTGTACAGTCGCAAAAAAATTTCCCCACTGCGACCTACAACTAAAACAAAAACAGAAACAAAAACAAAAACAAAAAACAAAAAAAAATTAAAAAAATTAAAAAACGAAAAAAAGCTACCATACAGTTTCATCTTGGTAACACATGGTAAAATAACATCTTTTAAATAGTAAAATAAAGTAACAAACTTTTACTCATAATGATTCCAAAAATCTACAAAGAAGAAATATTCAGAATCTGACAAATTTTTTTTTTGTAATATTCATGGTATAAAAGGATTGCTCCTGCGAAAAATAAGCCAAATATATTTTTTATTTTTAAATTTAGTTTTTTTTTCCTACTAGGGTGTACTACAGTCTATTTTATAGCAAAAAGAGCACTAGACAAACAAAGCTTTATAACAAAAAGCCAGGCACTGATACATGGTAAATCTCTGCTTTTTTTTTTTCTTATCTTCACTTAATTGCATCACAAGTAACAAGAATGAAAAAGGCCACAGTTCATATATTTTCACCATTACATATGTCTATAATACTTGAAATGAGTATGGCAAAAACCAGCACTGCACAAAGATGAGTCCACTTCAAGTCCCGTGAGAAGGAGCATGTCTCTAAAGAAAACAAATAAAACCAAAGCAAAATAAAGAGGCCTAAAGGCCCTGGTGCCCCATTGTGTTGGAATTCATCAAATTCCATCTTGACTCTTTTGCTTCCAGTCAGCCAGCAGACTAAATTTTTGTGCTTGTTTATGCTGAAATTGTTTCATTCCTGACTCAAGTTCACTTTTGGACACATCATATTTGCCTGTTGGATGCAAAGACGAAAATCCTCATAACCCCAAGTCTCGATTCGATTCCCTCCCCGCTCCCCAACCCCTCATCAAAATAAAGATCACGAATAAAAAAAAAATTCAAGAGATAGGAAAAAAAATCAAATCAAAAAACAACAACAAAATTAAAGGAATCGGAAGACTGAATGAGAACCAGTTGCACCACTGGTGGACTGTTGTATACACATTAGTGTTCCTTGCAGCTACACGAAGACAAATGGTAAGGATTTCTAGATGAACAGATCCCTATTCTGCATATTATAAATCACTCGAATGTGGAGGTGGATCAACTGTTCCAAGTTGCTTTCAAAGTCCAAGTTTCTTAAACCGATCCCCAGTCTAAGCATCATTCATATATATAAAATATATATGCATGCCTGGTGCAGTATGGACCTTTTAGACATTGTTTTTTGTATATTCTTTAATCCTAACTGTCTTCTGCTAAATTTTATTCAAAAATCCAGTGCAGGATACCAATATCTTACCTGGGTTTGAAAATTACAAAACAATGAAAAAAACAAAACCCAAAAAACCAAAAATAAAAACACACTAAAAAGGCCACGTTCCCTTTCTTCTTCTTCTTCTTCTTTTTCTTTCTTTTTTAAAACAGGGGATACCACCCAATTACTATGGAGAGGTGCAGATCATGTTTCTCCACCAAGCAAAGAGCAGCGAGCAGCTTCTGGTGGCCGTTAGGAAGTTTTTCACTTCTGCCCAAAGGGAATTCCACAATAGAGGTATTACATTACGGAGTAATGAATACATCAAAGCTGGTGAACAAGAAATTGCAGCTTTTCCTCGGTTTGATTGAGAACAAAATATAAAGCACCAATTTAAAAAATAACCAAATGACTACAATTTAATGTTTTGCTTTGTTTACAGATCTGAAAAACTTTAATTCAGCTCTATGAAGCACCTTTCTGATAACATGTATCAAAAGTGCCCTCTGAACATGTACATCAATGCAGGGAGCTTCCAGTTCCCTAAAGAGTAAACACCATATTCCCTTCTGTACACTTATCCTGAATGTGATCAGAGTATACCTGCTTCCTATATAATATTGTTCCTAGGGATACCCGCCTTGAGACTATACAAAATGAGTGCAGAATGGACCACTAAAAGGAAATCTTTAACATACTGAGGGAACAAGTTCACATGGTTTTCATTATTCCAGGAGGAGGGGAGAGTATACATTATTGTCTTCCATACCCTTTTTTGAGCTCCTTTGTTAGAACGATTCTCAGGAAAGCCCCAGAAAAACTTTTCATGAAGTCTGATTTCTGCTATTCTCCTAAGGTTTTAATCCACCTCCACATTGTAGGAACTTATCAACAAATCAAAGTATTTTAGTTTTATCGCTACTGAACATATTTACAGTTTTCAACACACACACACAGCTAATCAAAATGTTTATGGGTTTATAAAGATGACCACGTGGTAACTATCTTATTTGTTCTTACATTTTCAGAAATGAACATAAAATTCAGATTCTTGTAGCTCACTATATCATTTAAATGAGACTTTTTTTTTAAAACCACACAGTTTAGAAAAACAAAAACCGATACAATGTATTAAAACACATAATAACAAGAGTCTACATGTAAAAATATAACTTTTACATACACAATTTCAAAATAAGGATACGTTTGCCATTTGTTGCATAAAATTTACAAATGTATTTCATTACTATATAACTGGCAAAACAGGAGAACAGATGGAACATTTAGACCATTTCGATGGATTTATGGCATTTACTCAGTGCTGATAGGTGGAAAAACTACTTGAACAGGGATTGTTTTTTTTTTTTCTTAATACATGCCAAGATTGTGTGGCTGTAAAAATAGAAACGAGTTAGACACGAAAGGATGCTGACAAATACTTAACTAGGAGCACTATTTGTTTACTGCACTATACACCAAAGTCAATCATTAGAAAGATTTACGATGGAAATTGGTTCAATTGTGCCCAGACGTCAAAGCTAGCTATCTGATGAGTTGCTGTGCCATAGCTTGGTCTACGTTTCTATCAAATATGGTTAAGTATAAACTTCATTCATACTGGCCAGAGAAATACTGCACTACCCCTCCTCAAAAAAGTGCAACTTAATGCTTTAGGACTTATAAGGCTTATTATAATGCTGCAGGATGACTGAATATTGGCATTTTTCAGACGAAGGAGGAGGCAGGTTAGTTAAGTCATCTACATTTTAGTAAACCCATTTTGAAAAAAAATCAAGAAAGCAACAAAATCAATCAGCTCTGTCACACTACTTGCAATTTTCTCATTTGACGGTTTTTGAACTTCATTTTTTTTTGTTTTTGTTTTTTTGTGTGTTTTTTTTTTTTTTTCCAAAAATCTGACCATGTATTCAGAAACGCCTCACTGCACACTACTCCGGCTACACAGGTAGGTAACACTTTAATCGTTTTGTTAAATCACAGCCACTTTGATTATGTTATGTTTCCGATGATATAAACATTGGAAGGCACAGTGGTAACATTGTAGCATTCTAACCTTGTACCTCTGAAAATCCCAGAATAGGGTCACAAATGCAACATTACAAGTCAAGACAACAGTTTTGCCATGTCTTGGTAATGCTGCTTGTAATATCTACACATGATGTGACTTTTAAGTCCTGTGTTCCCAAAAGACTGGAGAAACGACTTTCTTACTTATTTATGAATGAGAAGCAACATCAGGGTCAGCCTTTCCTCCTGCACTGCCCCTCCAGAAGCAGAGTTGGCACTACAGGTTATGGTAACAAACTGGGGAAAGGGACAGAAATAAGACCCCCCCGCCCCCCCCAAAAAAATCCATATTTACAGTAAAATCTTTCTTTTAAAAAAGTTAATCAGTACTATTTTTTTACAGGAGAAAAAAAAGTCTGAAACAAATGAACAAAAGCTTACCATAGTCACTAAATTTTTAATATATATTTATATATATATTTATATATATATTTGTCATAGGTCTATAAGATCCATCTGTTCCTCCTACCCTAAGGAATGGCTAATGTCATCACTTCTTGTCATCAGGACGTTTGCTGGTTTTGTGACTAGGGCAGCCGAGCTCCCCCTATTCAATATCCAGTAATAATAAACACTAGCTGACTTGAATACCAACAAAAACGTTCATGTAGTTTTTCTTCAGAAGTACACTTTTTCATTATTGCAAGTTTACAATTTTTTTTAAATTAAATATTTTTTTCAGACTTACAAATTAATTATATTTTTTTTTTTTCCAAAAGAAGTTTAGGCACAAATGCATTGTTCCACAGTGTGGAAAGATTGCCATTCAGTCTCTGGGCTGCGTCTCAGCCTGTACATACTGCTTTGCACATTCTGAATGATATGTTAAAGAAGTCGTCCCTCAAGTTGCACTTTTTTCTTTCTTTTTTTTTTTTTTTGTTTGTTTTTCTGTTTTCTGATAATTGGGAATGCTGAAACCTCTTGCGTCTGTGATTCGTAACTACTCAGACTTGTCTTATATTACAAAAAAGGGGGTTAAGGAGAAGTGTTTATGTGGGTTTAAGATAATACAGCTGTTAAGGAAGTGGTCTCTTGTTTTAATGAAGCAATGTGGCAACTTGGACCTGAGAAAGGAAAAAGAGAGGAGAGTTCATTAATGCACTTATTAAAGAGAAAGTGATTAAAAAAATATATAAGAAAACAACAACCAAAAAAACCCTCATTTACCAAGAAAGAAAAATATGGGAAAAGTTGACTTGGGGTAAATTTGGCTAAGAGTTTGGATAAATTTGGGTAAAAATTTGTGCAAGAGTTATGAGTGAATACTGCAGAAATATTTGAAAATGAACTTGCCCTTTCACATCTGTCCCAGGTGATTGGATGCATCTCCCATTCCGGGGTGCGGGCCAGCCAAGGAGAGTGGGGGAGGCTCCGAGGACACCTTCTCTTCCTCCCTTCTTTTCAGACATGCTGCTTTCGGATTCAGATTCCTTTCTGTGGAGAATGAGAGCACAGGCCATTGAGTCAACGTCAAGGCTTCTCAAGGAGGGCAGTGATACATCCTCTGTGTGTTTGACCCTTTGGTTCAGTTTTTATGTGACAGAAGGAAAGAAGCAGTTAGGAAATAGGCATACAGTGATTCCTTTGGTTGTTCACTAGTAAAACCTGAATTATATGGAGGATTTGTACAGCAAAGTTATAGGAGGAAAGGAGTTGGATAAGACCGTTAACTAGCCAGGTGCGGTGACGCACACCTGTAATCCCAGCAGCTCGGGAGGCTGAGATAGGAGGATCTTGAGTTCAAACCCTGCCTCAGCAAAAGCAAGGTGCTAAGCAACTCAATGAGACCTTGTCTCTAAGTAATATACAAAATAGGGCTGGGGGTGTGGCTCAGTGGTCGAGTGTCCCTGAGTTCAATCCCTGGTACCTTGCCCCCCACCCCCAAATAGATAAATAAATAAAGTCAACTAAGCTCCAATTACTGACAGTACAAATGGAAGGTTATGAGAGAGCTCTGTAACTCCACAATCTGAGTAAGCAATTGCTGCCCAGAGGTCTTAGCCTGCACTGGGCAGTTCCTCTGAAGGTTCTTAAAAGTCTAGCGCTGTGGCTCAAGTCCATCTCACCGCACTGCTGCCTGCACTGACCTCGGACTTGCTGCTCCAGGCTGAGGATGACAGCCACGGCCTGGTGGAGGATCAGGAGCTTGGTCTGAGGCTTGTCACTCTTGAGGTGGAGCTGCACCATGCGGCCGAGCTCCTTGAAAGCCTCGTTGATGTCTCGGACCCGCAGGCGCTCCCGGGCGTTGTTGGCCATTCTCCGCTCCTTCTCGCGTTCTGCCTTCTGCTCTGGAGTCAGGTCCTCATCGTCATTATTGCTGTGGGTCAAAAAAGGAGGCGACATTTTCTAACGGTGTGGGGGAAAGGAAGGTGTCTAGATTACTTTGTTTTCTCCCAGAGTTGTCAGGAAACCTCCCCATCTCCATCTGCGTCCTTGTCAGTTTTACATCCACTTGACCTTGGCACGGGTCCATATTTAAGATATTTACCCACACCTGGAACCCCAATCAAACAGGAGAGCATGATGTGGGGAAATGAAGCTTTTGTGGGTAAGTCACACTCTGCCAAGCAGGCCTCTACCCACTATGCTTAGCCTGTTCTCTGTGACCACACTGCAGAAAAAATTGCTCACGTGCCATCTTTTTTTTGAAGAACTTTCACACTGTGACATCTGAAACCTAAGGAAATATGGGACTGAAAAAGAGATTTTTAATAGGTCAAAGAAAATATAAGACTGGCAAGTTAATAGGACCAAGAAGAAAGTCCTCCGTTGAAGACATCACAGCAATAAGAGTCAAGACAGTGGGACCATGCCCAGAGGTCGCCATTCCCAGCTCTGAAGGCCTGGACAATCCATGAGCCCTACCTGTGTCTCTCATTTTCTCCACACAGTAAATGAAAAGTTGAAAAGAAAAAAAAAATAAAAAACCAGAACAAAACATGACTTCCATGGTCTTTAATATTATGGATGATTGTGATTCCCCAAAATAAGTTGGGGAAATCTGAATTGACATCAGCTATGTAAAACAATACAAAATCCAAACATCTACCCCTTATAAATTGACATGACCTCATGGTGAGCCAAAAATGAAGGCAAACAGGAATCTCGCTAAGAACCAAAATACCCTGATGATTCATAATGAAGGTATGGCTGGGCCTAGTGTGGACTGCACAGATAAGATCAGTTCTGACCGTTTCTGGGTATCTTAGTGACCAATGAGACATTTAGCAGAAGGCAAAGAGGACGATGAGTCATCTGGAAGGCAGAGCATCTGAGGAAGCTTTCATGGCAGGAGAGTTTCCAACATTTCAAAGGACTTTCAAAGGCAGGTGTGGGAGACGTCCTGTCTCAAGAACAAAACAAAGAACTCTGGATGACCACTGTGAATGACCATGAGCAAGAACTTTTTTGGGGGGGTAGGAAAGACATCAAAAATGGAGTAAATGCCACTAAAAAGCAATGACTCCCCGTTGTAAGAAATACTATGGAGGTGACCACCTATCCAGCCATTAGCCTAGAGGTTCCGGCATTCAGCTAATGGACCGGAGATTGGCAGCTACCTTGAAATTCCATGTCGGAAATGTTCACTGCACAAAGCTTTTCAGAACTGAGACATGTGCATAGTTATTGAGTCAATTTGACCTACATTTAATGAATGCTGGCTTAAAAAGTATGGCTCTGATCTTCCATTTTTGGAAAATCCTTGGGTAAGTTCCAAATTGCAAAAAGGACCAAGTACACTGGAGAAGCAAGAATCAATCAAAAATTAAAAGTGGTATTCTTAGGATCCAAGGACATACAGTGCATAATGATGTATAGAAGCCAAGAACACTTACACACAGAAGAAAAAGTTAGTGAGGAAAGATGAAGACGTTAAAGAAAGAGGCTCAGACCATACTGCCCTCCCACAGCTGAAACTCCTTTCCATATGGCAACACCAGCCACAGGTGTGTGCTGGCTGACACACAGCTCAATGGAACCAACCAGAAAAGGGCTTCTTTATCCACTTCCTAATCTTCCGCAGTTCTCTGCTTATCCCCCCCTCTCCTCTTACCCATAATCCCTGCTGGTGCCAAAGAAAATCAGTTTACTATTAATTCGCTCTTGCACCCTGCTAAGCAAACAGGCTGTAATAAGCCCAAAGGAAATCTCTGCTGGGCCTGCCCTGAAGCTAAAAATTTGGGTAATATTTTTATATATCAAACATGTGTCATACCTTACACAGAAGGGACTTGAAAATAGGAAATTGTCTTCCAAAGATTTTTCAGGCTAATAGCTGATTAGAATTGGTTATTCACTTATAAATAAATTAGTTATGCAAATGATTTGCCTAGATTTGAAAAGCATTGCTTCACAACACAGTCTTGGAGGCATACCTAAGTAAATGTCATCAGAGTGACCTTTGAAAACAAGAAGGTTCTCAATAGCAAGTTAAAATGTTGTTCTGAAACTTCAAAGAATCCGTTAATATGTGTAAGTTATATTACCAAGAACTGACCAGACTAACAGAGAGACTGAGAAGGATGTGAAATTCCCACCCTGAGCTATCTTCCCATGTGGCCAAGAATCAGGAAACCGTAGCGATGGTAGAAAGGGGTTAGCTAGAAGCACTGAGCATGTTTGTAACTTGCAGCAGGACATGTAATGTAATTTGCCCCAGTAATTATAAAGCCGATGTAAAAAGGAAGCATCTTCTTAATTCATTAAGAACACTAGCTCTAACCTTGAACACCACAGCCTTTAAAAGGGAAGCTGCAGGCACAGTACAATTGGCTTAATTCTCAAATAAAAACCGCCCAAAGGAATTAAGGCAAAGCACATGGGTGTCCATGGCATTCAAAAAACCATCTGATTACTAAAGTTCAAAGAGACAGATCTAGCTGAAAGATATCAGATACTTAAGACCAACTGGAAGCTATTCTTGTGCAGTTGTTTTCTGTAAAGTCTGGGAGGGAAAAGATTAGCAATCGAGGAATTACTCTTCTATACATTAACATGTTTAGGATAAAGCTGGGAAATCATTATTTTAAGAAAACAGTTACAGTTGCACACACCCATTATTTGACTTTTTAACATGCCCTATGATCACTTTTTAGAAAGAACATTTCTGACCAAATTTGTAGAATATCGTTTTAAAAATGAACCATTTGCACTTGCATCCATTCTAATTTTTTTTCTTTTTCTTTTTTTTTTTTCATTTTTTTGCACTGTGTGTAATCAGCATTGGGTCCAAATTCATAAATGCAAAAACATTTTAGGCTTCACTAGAGTACAGGTATCTTAAATGATACGTTTAGTACTTCTAGAAGAGGCCTTCAATTTTCTTTTAATGTGTAAATTTACCTGCCAGGAAAAAACTCAGTAGTTTCTTCCTGTTCTGTTCACTTCATCAAAGTCCAATAAAGGAATTAAATGAAGCGACAGTATGATATACTGTTACCTAGATCTTGACCTAGTAATTGATTTGATATCCTTCTTGTCGTCGTCTAATTTCTTGTCCTCAGAAGACTTTGTGTCTTGCAGGTTCTCATCACCCTCATCGTCAGATTTGATCTCAGAGCTGCCGGAGGAGACACTCTGCCCCTGAAGTCCTGGTGGCATGCCTATAGGGGAAAAAAAAAGAGACCAGGTGACACGTTTGCTAAAACCTCGGTGCACAAACGCTCACCCCCCAGGACCTTGAGGCTGCCAGCCAGACGATTCGCACTGCTGAACTGTGATCCTTCTGTCACTCTTTCCCTGCTATCTGGTGGAAGTTTCAGAAATGCACCTGCGGAAATAAGTTTTCCCTGCATTGGGCTCTGAGGTTAAATTCTATTTTGCAATCTTTTGGAGTAGATGGTAATTTCACTGTCTACAAAACATCAACTTAATTGCAATGAAAATCATAATCATGAAAATCACACACCTCAATGTTCTGATTAAGAAACCCAAGTAAATATCAGCTATTATATTGAGTTTTTTTCCATATGCAATGATTTAATAGAAAAATGTCCTTAAAATATAATTCCCAGGGAGTACGCTAAATATATGCAGTCAAGACTTCAATAGATACCCTAATGATATTCTGAAATTAGGCTTCTCTTATCCTCAAGGAGTAATCAGCATTAAAAATGGTACATATGGAAGGCAGTTCTCTGCTCACTGAAGAATATTCTAGCTTTATCATCGCTAAACTTTCCAACATCACACTATGTTTTAAAATGTGACTTTAATGTAATTTTACTTCCTAGTCGATGAATGTCTGTTAAGTATTTCCTTCCACTTGCAGTCTGTGTATTCTAGAACCCTATTTCTCAAAATTTGGTTCATGGTCCAGGACCATCCTTATCACCTGGGAGCCACTAGAAATGCCAAATTCCAAAATTAATAAATCAGAATCAGCCTTTGAATGTGATCCCTGGTTCACGCTTTTCACGTTACAGTTGGAGAAGTACAGATCTAGGGCAAAGAGAGCAAAACCAAGAGCTCTGCCAGATTATTACTGCTCAGATAAAACGGAATAGCCATACCCATATATATATAATCATCGCTCAGATGAGTATAAAAGTTAACAGCTGAAAGACATTATATGGATTCCAGAGGCAGTGTTACTGTGTTTATTTTAAATGTGCAGGGAATGAGAAGATGTTCTTGAAATGACCGATAGACAGTCAGCTGGCCAGTGAGTGGCACAGAGAACCTAGACCCAGACCTTGTAGCACCACTTCCTGGGGGCATGAAAAGGCAGGCACAGGAGGCACCATGACATGGCTGGATGACTCAAGAGCGAAAACCACAACCATGTTCCATTTTAAAAACGTACCTACATTTCCTTCCATCTCAAACAACTAAAACAATTTCCTTCCATCCTCTTCATTTGAAAACATCATTTTCAGGCCCAAACTAACCGCATTAGAGGACCTGAATGGGTAAAATGTGGAAATAGCTAAAATATAATTTCCTCTCATCAGTCTGCTGTCTCCTTCCCTACTGAAATGGGACCAGGATTTTCAGAGGATGTTGGAGGAGAACAGTTACTGAAGAAACACGTTTAGCAGGCTAGGTTCTCACTCCTTTCCCATGTACTCACCATTTTTGTACCAAATTTGATTCTTGGTTTTCTGCCAATGCTTCCTGAGGGCTGCCCACCAAGGACAGGGGGCAAACAACACCGCGTGTCTTGTTTACAGGAAATCAGAAGTGCTCTTCCCAGGCACACTTACCTCTGTAAGGGTCCTGGGGTGGGTTCAAGTCAGGGGAAGTTGCAGACTGGACAGGAAGCTGTGGAACCGGAACCTGATTTGGCAGAAGAGAATGGCTGCCTCTCAGGGCCACGCCATCTTCACGATGGGCCCCCACCTGAAAGCAGGAGAGGAGCCATTGTGATCAGTGGGAATGGGAGGCACCACAGCTGTTTCCAGGGGCAGCCAGGACCTGAAGCAGGAAGGCTGGCCTCTGGAAAACAATCCTCCCACACGCGTTTCGCTAGAGGGCGCTGGAGGACTGCACATGCACCTAGAGTTCCCTGCAAAAACACTTAACGCTCAGTGAGATGCCGTGCCTTACATCCAGTGACAAATATGGCAGAGTAGCTCAGGCAGGTAAAACGTCAAATTGTCTCCCAGGGTGCTGCAGTGGAGCGCACGGATTCGTACCCATCTGTCTTCTATCATGTCCGCCAACAGATCTGACAATTATCTTAATGCCCATATGCTTAATTGTGGGCTTCTCAATTCCCCCATTGCTATCGGAAATCCTACAGGAATTTCAATTTGGCATTCGACTTTCATTTCAGGGGATAAGATTCTCAGGCCTGCCATTTTTTTTTTTTCCATAATGCCAGCTAAGCCTCTGACAGCGGAAGCTACAGCAGTATGGGACATAGCCCCTGCTCGGTACAAATATAATAAAATGTCACCTGGCTTTCCAACACTGGCAGTCCATTCCAAATTAATGTTTACTGTATTTCATCAGCTGCTGAGTTCCAAATCCAAAGGGGGACCATTTGTGCCAATGCCACCATACCGGAAAATGTACCAATAAAGGTTTTATTAAACACACCAGTAAAGCCATGATTGCCATGTGAGGATGTTTGGACATTTTTCCATTTTTTCCCTCCACTACTCTGATCCTAGAAAGACACCATATTGTAAACACTCTTTGTGTTTCCAAGAATAAAATTATAGAGTACAGCATGATTACTTGATTTGGAGAGAAAAAAAAAATACTGCTGTTTTTTTTTTTTTTTTTTTTTATTAACTACTACTACCTACTATGGGGTCCAGAGACATTGAACTTGTGGCACTGGGACAGCAGTTGCTGACTTTATAGCAGATGCCTTAAAGCAAAACCATTAAGCATTTGTAAACCAAGAGAAACATAAATAGCTCACATTGCATTTGTGTTTTTATGTAGTTTTTTTTTTCTTAGCCTATTGTTAAGGGAACATTTATGCCAGCCAGTGGGTCTAACACTAAAAAAATATTTATGTATGAATTTATTCAGCTCTGAATCAAGGGTTACTTTTTCTAATTCAAAAAATATATATAATAAGATCACAAAGCAGAATTTTCACTCTTTGGTACCAAAATGTTTTATAAGAGTTTTTCCAAAGAATGCATAAATAGTAACAATGTGAAGCAACAACAAACTCACAGGACTGAAGCACATGCACATTATTTAAAGGCAGCCAAGTATCAAGAATTTTATATGTGTATGTGTATGTGTGTGTGTGTGTGTGTGTATGTGTGTGTGTGTGAATATATGGATGTACTATGTACATGAATATACACACTCCTACATAATACAAAAGACAATAATTTGCTGGGGGCGGGCATCAGGAGGATCACATAAATTGTACTAATTGTTCAGATTGAAAAACAGTGAGAACAGTAAAGGACACTGTCCACACCAGGGAATATAAGCACTTCAGCTGAGAGGCTGGGAGTCCGCTCTATGGCACTGGGTGCCTGTGTTGCAATACACACTTGCTGATCGGGGTAGGTCAGCCCCTGTGTGGCTGTTCTATGCATTGAGACCCTGAGCTCATTCCATGTTTGACCACAAACTGGCCTCTTGGTGAATCTCTCCCGCTGGCCCAGAGTTCCAGCTGTGCTACTGGTGCAAGCCCGTCCCATACACTCAACTGTTGCCACACCATCCCGGCTTTCCTCTGAGACTGGGGTCCACTCTCTTACAGGCAGGCTGGTCTACCCCATTCCTTCAACCACGCCTTGTTCGCTCTTTCTATACGACATTCTTTCCCCAGGTAGGAAGAAGAATCCTTTTACATCCAGGTTTTGATTTGCCATACTTATATTTGTGCATACAAAAGACAGATTCAGTCAATGGTTATACTTTGGATCTAGGATCTCAACGTGGAAGCATCAATTTGACAGGCCTTGATCAAATGACAGCTAAAATCTAAAAATCAATGTGAACCTATATAATTATCTTAGAGCCAATTCATATTTGTTGCTGTTTCCAATAAATCTAATTTTTTGAATTTCCACAAAGGATGGTACTCAGTTGGGATCACTGAGGAGGACCACTGATTCAAGCTTAGCAGAGCAGCTTGCTCTTTATGTTTCATAAGCATTCTATAAACACTCTCAAGCATTTGTGGTCATCTGTGATATCATTTAAGGCTAATGTTTTATTTTTTATTTAAATCATATTAAGGTATTAATCTTGAAAAATTTCTCCCTCTGTATCCCACTCAGAATGGTTCTTACAAGAGAAGAATCCAGAGCTAATTGTCTTTATATATATATATATTTTATTTTTTGCCTCAGTGATTAGGAAAGTCGCTCTAACTGGTATAATAGTGAGAACAGAAGTGTCTAGATCCTAAAGGAAGCTGGTTTCTTTGTTAGCTGTGTAATCATTATTTAAGTTGCTCAAATGCAAAACAAAGAAAACAACACTAAGTTATAGAGAGCAAGTCTCCCAGGCTTATCATAAAGAGTATCAATAATATATGTAAGCCCAGCACAGTGAAGCATGCCTGTAATCCCAGAAGCTATGGAGGCTGAGGCAGGAGAATGTTGAGTTCAAAGCCAGCCTTAGCAAAAGCAAGGCACTAAGCAACTCCGTGAGACCCTGTCTCTAAATTTAAAAAAAAACAAAATAGGGCTGGGGATGTGGCTCAGCGGTCGAGTTCTAAATTCTATCTCTGGTACTCCCCAAAACAAAAAAAGTATATGTAAAACAACGAGTACGTAATAGTTACACACAGTGTTCTATCATCTGAAAACACTTGCTTATTACATAGAATTGACAGTCCATGAAATCCAAGAGCTCTGAGCACTCAAGCTTCAGTCTCCCTTCACTTAGAATCATCTTTGCACTCATTGTCTATTTTCACATTTGGTTGATTTTAAGTCTTTCTCCTCTACAAGGACAGTGAAATTGTAAAGAAGATAAATACAATTGAAAGTATAGTTGTTTCAACTACCATTTTGTTTGGATTTTAGGTATATGTATTACCTCACTCTGTTTTCTAAGGGTCACTAGGTCATTTCAAATACTATCAGTCAATTTCCATGAAAGAAGTAGTAGATAAAGTTGTTAATGTTTAAGGCTTTGCTGTGTATTTCAGGACACGTGGACGATGACTGACAGGTTCAGATCCATGTGGTAGTGAGTCTGATTCTCCAGGATCAATTCCACTGCTTGCTTCCTTGGCCCCAGACAGCACATTCCAACCCTATTTACTTCAGAAATGTCGTTTCTGTTCACAGGAGAGCCAAGTAAGAAAGACGGTGGATGATAACACAAATTTACCACTAGAACAGCACAGCAATAAGATGGAGGACCCAATACCACCATTTATAAATACAGGGGTCAGGGATGTGTCCGCCTCTCCTATAACAAATAGGTAATAATGTATTAGGAAAAAGCAGATTCTTTCAAACTACAAGTTGATTCAAAGAATGACATATGGTACCTATGTTTAGAAAATTCATACTTCATTAAAGTTCTATTTTGATAAACATTTAGATAACAATAAAATTAAAGCCAGCTTATAAAAGCAGTTAAATAATACTGATTGCATTTTTTTGCAATCTTTAAGAACATTGTCATAGTCGCTTAGATACGTAGTTTAGATATAATTATGCTAAAAGATCCAGGTAAAATTTAATAATTATTAGATAATTACTAATCAGTTGATCAGAATACATTTATTAATTCAGAAAACATTATCTAATCTACTCAATGCTTGTCACTCTTACTACAGCCTGGTTTCCTCTTTCATGGTGTCTCTTGGTACATTTCTTTGGGGGTTCTAACTCCCTCTCTCTCTTCTTACTATTTCCAGGTTCTGAATGCCAAGACCATCCAAGGGCCAGTACATCACTTTGAAGCAGACGTAGGCTATGCTATGAATAGGCCACCCTAGGATCCGGTGTTTTGCGATCCAATGAGTTACAAAAGAATGAGCAGATAGAATCACATGTCCCAAAAATGGCTTGGCCTGATTGTCTGAATACCTGGTAAGTCATGACTGGTACCTCTATGTACAGATATCTAAGTTACCCTGTATCTTAGGTCAAGATAGATTCCAATTCTGGCACATCCATTTCAATTATCCCCTGTGAATTTATCATTGGGAATAATTAAACATCATAATTTTAAATGATCATACTTTCTGGGGAAAAGATTGATTTACTAGAAGTTCTTTAAATTCCCAGAATATAGACTTTCAGGGTTTGGAGGAATTTGGAAATAAGTTAGGTAAAATTCAATTTCATAAAAAAAAAAAAATGTGCTAAGGTGGAGAATGGCTGAGTGACTTAGCCAATGTCCAGTTGGAGAACTAAAATAGATCTTGAACTCAGGAAACTTAACATTGAACAATTTGAATGGGCATAGAAACATACACGGGGAGGGAAGCAGAGTTCAGGGTTCAAGGGATTTACTTTCTGGAGATTTTGTTTTAAACCAATGTGCGTACATGTATGTGCGCACACACATACCTATAACAAAGACATTACAGGCATATATGTGCATATGAGTATCCAGATCTGAAGATCATTTTAGTTTTCTTTATCATAGGAAAAAATTTAAAGTTCACCAACTCAGGCCAAGGCCAAACTGTCTAACTAAATTACAAAATTTAATATTTGCCACAAGTCCTCCAACATAAATAGATTTAAAAGACATGCAGCTTCAAATTAGGTGGCTGTTGGCCAGGCTGCTTTTATACAGGGATGTGGGGTTGCCTACAGCATCTTGGTAAATATCCTGTCCTTATCCTCAAGCTAACAACAAATGCCACAAACAAAAAAGACATTCAATGCTTTTGCTCTCTTTGTTTCCAGGGAGTATTGTGAAAGTAATTATTCTGTTGTATTTAA